TCTTGACATATCATATTTTTGAATAAGATGGGGTATAATTTCTCATTTTTCTGAGTGTACAGGTTGCAGAATCACATTGGTCATGCAGTCATGTATATACATACAGTAATACTAATGTCTATTTTATTCTGCTGACCTTCCTTTACCCCCTCCCCTTCACCTCCCCTTCCATCACTTCTCTCTACCCAATCTAATGTGACACACTTGTTTTTTTTCTCCTAACATCAACATACATGTATTCTGTATAATGATTAAGGTCTCCTTGTCCATCTTCCATGAAATTCCCCTTCTCCCTCCCTTTCCCTCTTACCTCTCTTCCCTAGTGTGTTTTATTTTACAGAATGAATTTAAAAAGCAACTGTTACTAAGTAAATATAATTTAATATAAAAATTTAACATGAAGTACTAATATTAAAATTATTAAACAAAGAACATATAAATCTGCAAATTCTATACAATATAGACAGTTATGTCTTTTGAACTGAAAAACAAGCTCCTGCTTCGAGTCTTACAGGTTAATCGCAGCTTCTGTGCACTGCAGGTATCATCTCTCCCGTATCCCAGGGCCAAGATCTCTGCTCTCCCAGGTGTCTTATGGGGTCTATAAAATAGAGCAAGGTAAAAAGGCCACTTGGGATGAGTTGCTGGCCACAGAGAGTGGCCAGGATCACAATTGTCCTCAGGATATGCAACATGAACTTGGGCCCTGATCTCTCCTGGGGTCTGGGCAGGGAGCACTGAGGCTGGTATGCTGCCCTCAGCTGAGAGTGTTGTCTGTGGGAAGAGTGCCTATGAATGTCCTCAGGAGAAAATTCCCATGGACATTCACCTTCAGAACCTTCTGAGTGCTTCCCTAGAGAGTGAACATGAGGAAATGGGAAGGGTTCTCTAGGACATTTGGGTGTAAAGGCTAAGTAGCACACACCTGGGACCCTGAGAAGCAGCACCTGTGATGACACAGGGTGGAGCAAGGACCCTGGCTCCTCCAGCCCTACCCTCTGTAGCGCCTTTACTCAGAGAGCTTCCTGCACTGATTTAAACCAAATTGTACCTTCCTTGCATAGCCATGGTCACATGCAACTATGGAACCTTCAGTGCACTAATTGATTCTGATGGATTGCATAAAGTGCAACAAAGAAACTTAAGAAAGCAATGGAGAATATGTGGACTGATTTGACCTCTTCTATCCTTCCCATTCTTTCCAGACTCACATTTCCTTTTCCTAAACTGCTTTGTCACTTTTGCTGCATTGAGCCCACATATTAAATCAGAAGAGGGCCCCTGGAAACAATTCATGTTAGGGGACCTACATTCGAATTGTGTAATCTTAACCTAGTAAAGGAAGGGTAAATTCGTGCATGCTCAGAGCCAGCAAAGGCAGGAGAACCCAGCTATTTAGTGGTCAGTAAATCAGACCCATATTGTTTGTGTCTCATGCATCAGGCAACAACTCAGTGTTTCTGATGCTCCCTACAACTCAAACTCAGTGTATGGGGATGCAGTATTGCTCAGCATGATTCAGTGGTGTTGCCTGTGGTGAAAAAAAAAAAAACAGGGAATGACTAAGAATCTTAGTGCAGAGAGATTTAACAGACATTGAAGGTCCAAGGACCTCAAAGATCTGGATGAAGAAAGCACCTTTAGAAAAGTCAAAAATGTGGGAAAGATGAAACATGGAAAATCTACAGCCTTTACATAAGAAAGAATAATTAAGAGAAACCAATAGAAAATCAATTACTTGCAGATTTCTGGTCCTTTATTCCTCCTCCTCATCCTCTGAATCACTTTCTATATTTTCTCTGTAAACCATGGCCTTGATGGTGATGATGTGGCCTTAGAAAAAGAAAAAGAAGAGTTAAAGTCAAGGTGAGAACTTGAGTTGCTCTTTTTCCTGGTGTTCTAGAACCCACAGTCAGAGCTCTCCATTCTTCCTCTTGTCTGTGTTCCTGTCTGCTGGCCTCCATCACCTAAATTCTGCAATGAGAAATAGATCTAGCATCCCAAGAGCTCTTTTCCAAATTTAAAATACTGTTATTTTGGATGGCCAAGACCTGAAGTTCAAAGATGAAGCAGGCAATAATTTCCTTCCCCTGGGTTTTCTTGGGCAGCACTTTGGGAGCATGTTCTTACTCCTCATACTCCTCATTTATAAGTAGACTGTGGAGTCATACAAAAGTGAAAAGTGCCAGGAACTCTCTGAGGGCCTGAGGAATCTACATAAA